TGCAGGAGGAATGAAAAAGAAGACTTCTCTTCAGTGAAATCTGTCTAAAGGGATGAATAAAACATCCCCTGTTAAACTCCTATAAAACTTGGCATTGAATGTAACAGTTTAGCACAGAAAAGAAGTTTGTATTTGTAGGAAGGCAGACCAAAGTAACTACTTAGGTCTTATCCCTATTTAACTTCTGGAGATCTTCCTTTGGAGATCAAAGATAAGATTCTCGACTCCCTCAAATCACGGACGGCACAGTGGGTAGACAAGCCCCACCAAAGGAGCCCACCGCCGCAGACAGAAAGGGACAGAATATAGACTGAATATATACGTGTGGCCTCATGGGATATGCCGTTGATTGTGTTGAAAACATTTATGTCAGAAAGCAATCTGTTTTACATGTACCATCTCCCCAGGTAAACAACATACAAAGCAATTAAAATGATTCACTATGTTTCACCCCGATAGTCTTGCACTGGCAAGACGATGGGTATGGCAATGAGCAAAAGGAGGTGTAGGAATAGCACAAGGCAAAGTGAGATATAAGAACAGCCTACTCCTGTGGCATCAGACTGGCGGGAAAATATGCATCCTTACAGGTGGCCTAATATGCATGGGATTTTCCTGAGTCTGCCAGGCCACCTTTGAGGTTGGAAGGTGGTATCCTGCTACCTACTTCATGGAGAAGTGAACTAAAATAACATATGCAGTCTTTAGTGCTTGTACCTGTCATGGACCAGGCAAGTCCCTTGGAGTTATGTGCCTGAAGGAGCTTCAGGAATATGAAGTGGAAATGTCTCAAACATTACCATATATCTTGGGGAAAAAAAAGTAAGCAAGATGGAGATGGGCTCAGGTGCATCTGAAACTTAGAAAATCTATTACAATGAGTGAGGATGGCTATGAAAAGAGATGAAACATGATGCACAGACAGGCACAAGAGGGTTGTACTAAATCTTGAAAATGAAGTTAAGAGCGGAAACTTGTGAATTCCTTTATAAGAGGTAAACCGTAATGGGAAGTGTTGGCAAGGGAAAAGATGCTGGTTGTGAAGCTAGATAAAGAAAAAGCAAGCATGCTATGAAGCACATGCTGACAGATATTTAAACAAAATATTGTCAAAACTTAGACTAAGTGTTAGTCGAGGGCATATAGGAAAAATGACAGGTTTAAAAAATACTACAGTAGAATAGGTGAGCTTTTAAAAGAACTTGCATGTCACTGAAAATATCTGTAGGAATTCACATTTTAATACTTAACAGTTAATATTTTTTGCAAGTATCAGGAGATAAAAGCTACTAAGAATTATTAAACTTGAGATGGTAGAAGAAAAATGTGTTTGGAAGTGATAGAAAAATCAGCTAATGGTTCAGCCAGTTAAACTGTTTTAAGTTTCATAAACTATCAATTTAAAGTGTATTAGCTGGCATGTAGCTATCAGAAGCTGCTTATTACAGAAGGGCTAAAACCCTGTCATGTGACCCTGCAGGTACAAAAATATTTTTAAATGCCTGATACATCATGACAAGCATCCACAAAGACATGGTGGAGACTTGGTTCATAAATTTAATAGCTCAGAGTAACTGCCTAAGAACACACTCTGAACAAAAGCAAAGCTTTTACGTGACCTCTTGGTGAATTAAAACGAAAAAAAAAATCCCAGCTGAAGTGGAAGAGTGAAGTTACTTAAAGTTGTTATTCATATTAGTTCTTCCGGAAGCTTATGGACAATGCCAAAAGAGTAAAATATTAGACAAGTAAGTACATTTTTGGTATTCTGAAAGTTCCTTCAAAACATAGCTGATAGTTTTTGAAGCAGAAGGCTAGACAGCTGCTTTATGTACTCGTAGGTAGTGTTACTGAAATAGGTTCCGAGCACAGCAGCCTTTCCTTCTCAACACAAATTAGAAATATAATACAAATGCTAAAAATAATAAGGCAGGTCTAATTAAGGCACAAAAATTATTTCATTATAGACCTTTATAGACTGGTTTCTGTGTTCTATACACAAACTACTCTCATCCATTTTTTTCCTCACTATGAATTCCAGCAAACACATGACCTCAATTTTTATGGAATAAATGCTACTAGACAGGGAGAAAGTGTATTTAGTTTAGTGAAACGAGTCAAGCAAAGACAGAGACAAAGCCTAAATTAGGTATGCAGAAACACCTCATGGTAATGTAAGAATAGGTCATTTTTTAACCATTTGAATACGCAAGCTTTTATAATGATAGAACTTGCTACTTTAAAAAGACCCAGCTATAATAGACATGATTTGGCTAAGCAATTTGGAAACAATATGTTTATAAACAGAAAGGTATAGCTCTACTGAAACAAAATGAACACTTAAACCTTTTTACAAGTGAATTGGTGGGCAGTTCCCACTGCAGGGGCTTGACCTAGTACTTCAACATACAGTTTTCACCAGGATAAAGAAAAGCCGTCACACTGATGAATTTCATATACAATGATCCCTCTGTAAAACCCGCAAGTAGAGCAGCATAGAATCACACGTATTAATAGCCAGGTAAAAAGTGACCACGGATTTCCAAATTCCTGGCATAACACAACATGTGATCATGGTAAAGAGCTGCAGCCTGACTGACTTGAAGAGCATTCCCTAGCCACCCAAATACTGCTCGTGGGATGGATGGTTCTGCTGTGGCTGCACTCATGCAAGAACGTTCCAGCGTCCCAGACAGGA